AGAGGAGATGGACTGCCAGTCCTGGAGAGTTTTTTAAAAATCTTATTCCTGATTACATTCTACCTTTTAGATAAAATAGCTGAGAAATACCCGGCATTGCAGGCACGCCTTGATTCTCCTCCATTTGCTTAGTGGGGCTTGTCCAGGGAACCTCCAGTTGAGGTCCCTACTTCACTGCCTTTGTCACACCACATGGTTGCCATTGTGGCCACAACTAAAGGAGCATCCTGAAACTTACTACTTAGACACTTCTAGGCTGTCTAAAAAATCTTCTGCTCATTTTTACAAAATAGGAGGGAAGCCGGCATAATAGGAAGTAAGTTGGCCCGAGTAAGCTCAAGTATACAAGTCAAGCCAAGCCGTCCTGTCCCGCGCTGCTCAGCCAGCAGGGGGCGCCTTTCTGCAGGTGCACACAGAGTGGGCTGCGTCATCAGTGTGTAACATAGGAGAAGGTCCCTGTGCATACTGACTGTCACCCTTCTCTCCACATCTCTAAATTGGTTACAGAGGCAGTGATGGGGGAAAATGCTCCATGGTCACAGTGCTTTGCCCAGGTAGCCAGTCCCTGGCGTGTGAGTGACAACTCTGCCATAAAAACGCTATGACTGCCCTGTTTATGGAATGACTGTGTTTCTGGCACTGACAATTGAGTTTTTAAGAAATCAAATCTTTGCCCAGAGAACATTAGCGTGAAAAAGATACGAGCAGACAATCCATGTTGACAAAGAGCCTCACCTCACTGGTGTTTTCAGTGCTTTCATACTGTTGCACGCCCATGGGGCTTTCTGAAAATGAGCATCTGCCGTGACAAATCTGCTCGTCCTCTGAAAACAGGACAGTATTGCTGGGGTAAAATCACTCACGATTGTCAGAAAATAAATGCTCTCCTGGGAATTTAATTATAAAAGTGCCACCTTGTGCAGGGTTTTGCGGGTAAAAGAAATTATGTCCCAAATCAGTACTAAGAAAGTGCCTGTGTGTTCACATTGATTTTGGAATCAGTTTCATACTGAGTCTTCTTTTTCCTCCATCTCCGAGTTTCACTGGCCAGAAGACAAGGCGCTGCCCTGCTGCCCAGCATGTTCTCCTCCGCCCCGTGCCCCTCCCGTTTTTGCTGGCCAGGCAGCATGTGCTGGCCCCTTTAGATTGCAGTGGTCAGCTCAGAGGACAGCCTCTTCTGCAGAATAGCTGGAATTCCTGCTTAGAGCTAGGCCTCGACTTTGTTTGTTTAAGCACGCAGTTGACTGTTCTTCAGTCCGGCGTGTTTCCGAATATGGTATTCTTAAATGCTTGTGGTTGCTGAAACTTGAGATACACCCTAGCCTCAAGGGTCGTGAGTGTTAGGGCCAAAAATATTCAATCTGAAGAGCAGAAGGAAACACAGGTCCTGTTGTTTAGCAGCATCACTACAAGAGCCTCACTGAGAATTTGTGCAGAATGTGGATCCACGTAGGCCAGGCAGACTGGTAGCCTCTTTCAGCCTGTGCTCACAGGTGTGTCTCACCTCAAAGGAAGTTCACTCACTGCGAGTTGGGCTGGAAAGGAAGCGAGCAGATCCAGCCCTTTCGCTGGGGCTGGGTGGCGCTCTTGACCGTCCACTCCTCAGCTGTCCCAGCTCTGGCTGCTCTGGCGCCTCTGTGAAACACACGGCCCTATTTTTAGTGCTGGGCTGTCATTTCTGATGTGCTGCCGTTGCAAAAATTCAGTAGCAGCTGCAGCCAGCATCCTGATTTAAAGGCTTCGTTTATAATGCAGACAAAACTTGTTTACCAAATAAAGAAGAATGGAATGTTAGGGGGGATCGACTGCTCTCGGCCTCATGGCATGGAGGCGTCCCACCACCCGTGTCCCGGCCCATGTCTATGTGTGTGTGCACATGTGCATTCACGCATGCGTGCTGCAGATTCTTCATCACAGTCAGCTGTGGGCAAAGGAGAGGAGCAAGAGGAGTCCCAAAAGGAGGAAACTGGCAGGGGGATAGCAGTTCCTGGTAGTGCTTAATGCCCAGATCTTTCCTCTTGAGCTTCTCGGAGTCCACCGGGATCACTTATGCAGGTGCCCCTGGGCCCACAGTACTTAGGAACCGTTGACAGTCGTATCATTTCAGGAACTAGTTTTCAAACATTTGGTTATGGGATCTCCTACCTCCATGTGCGTGCATCAGTAGGCGAAGCTGATGTAATATTCTGTTAATGGTGTTTATTGGCAAGTTTAGCGTGTGATCAGTGACCTGGGCCCGTGTCTGTGACTCAGCTGGGAAGGGCATCCTCAGTCCACTTCACATTTGTGTTTTGTTCTGGTTGTACTGTCCTGAGAAAAGTCAGTCATGCTGGTGGCAACTGTTATTTACATGGATCTATTTGTACTTTTAAGAAATTCTTTGGACAGGTGACGGGAGAGCAGTATTAAGACTGCCCGGTGACAAGTCGCTCTGGACACACATTCGCTACCATTGTGGAGGGGGCGGTCTGAGGGCCAGAAGCAGAGAGTAGCCGTGCCCTTCTGGAAAAAGAGGCCTTGCTTTCCCCACCGTCTTACCCCATCTGATCTCCAAATACTTAGGTTCCCCAACAATGTGAATGCCTGCCTCCTTCGCTCCCTCCCACGAGAGCCTCTGCCTTCCTAACTTTACCTGCACACGAGGCCCGGTGTGGGGACCTCTGTTGTGCATCCAGGGGGGCGGCCCAGACTTTGCTCTTCAGAGAAGCTGCTCTTTGTCACGGAGAAATAAAGCCCACATGTCAGGTTACATTCTTTCGTATATTTGTGGCTCTTGGGGTGGAACCCTGGCCAGGCTGACTGGCAGGGGGGTGCATACGGTTCTCTGTCCTGGGACGGGGTGAGAGAAGCACTGAGGGACCCAGACATGTATGTGCAAAGCCGCGTTCCTGAACAGTCGGCTCCTGTCCTCAGGGCCAAGGAGAGTGGGATGCAAACCCAGAGATTTGCAGCTATGCCAGGCCCTGCTCTTCCTAAAAGGATGACCAGATATGGGCTCTTCCCTGCCTGCTGCAGCAGGGCTGTTTACTCTGTGTGAACAAAGTCACCTGTGTGTTTTTATGTTGTGTGTTGTTTCCTTAATCGACGTTGAGCTTGGGAGAACGGCCTATTATGATGCATAGCGGAGTTAGCACGGCTGTATAGTATGCCACTGCGTGCACCGTCATTTACTCATGCGGTCTACTGTCGATGGCCATGCTTTGCTTCCACTTTGGGGCTGCTCTGAGTGCTGGTGCACACTCTCCCATGCACACCAAGGGCATCTACAGGCACATGCTCACAAGTAGGGGTGCTGGGTGGTAGGATATGTGCAATTCCACCTGACTCACTAGCATCAAGCTGTTTCCCCGGGGCAGGCCACCCAGTCCAGCAGTGCATGAGCGTCCCTGCTGCCGCACGCCCATCTCTCCATGGCTGATGAGCGCTTTTCATAAGTTCACTGAGTTTCATCTTTAGTGAAGCACCTGTTCCTGTGCTTTGCCCACAATTCATACTGAGATGTCTGATTTGTAGCAACACTTGATCTGTTCTGGAATCTGGAAATTTGTAGACTTGAGACTGTATTTAAAAACAAAAGTTGTCGCAAGCACACATCAGGAATGGAGCCACAGCCTGACGCTCCATCCTCTCCCTTCCTCCTCAGTGTGGGCCCCTAGCTGCTCCCTTTTTAGGCGTCTCCTTCCCCTGCCCTCAGCCCCTTTCTGTCCTCTGAAGAGCTGGTCCTGGGTTGTCCCCAAAACCTCCTACTGTCCTCTTCTTTACATAGTAATTCACATATTAGCAGAGGCCCCTTAAGAACTATGACCTGGGTGTGGGGAGGGGGAGGCACTGGTGTGAGGGCTTGGTGAGAACCCTTGCTCTGTATTGTCCTTCCTTGGTACCATTTTTCTCTTACCTGTAGCTTTACCACCGCACAGCACCAGCACTACCAGAGCCTCTCTGCCTTCATGTTCACATGGGGCTGTTTGCCCAAGCCCTCTGCAACCTGGCCTCCTTTCCTGTTTTCTAAACATTCGTAATGGCAAGTCTTGATTTGTCACAGGGATTCTAAACTCCATAAAGGCAGGAAAGATGTGGTGTGCTCACCGCTGACATCACTAACTATTCTAGTTGATGGAAATTGATGACTTTAGGGTAAGAGGCCAGACTGAGCAGGAATACTGATTTCTGGGGTTGCACTGTCTTCTGTTCATCTCTTGCTAGAAAAACAAATGTTAAAATAAAAATTTAGTGGGCCTCCCCCGTGGCGCAGTGGTTGAGAGCTGGGTTGCGAAGCTGCCCGCAGATTCTGCAGTGCAGGTTCGATGCCCGCCTGCTCCCCGGCCACCGGAGGAGGGTCCCACATGGCGTGCAGACCCCTGCTGCCGCCCGCTGCTCCCCTCAGCAGTGTACTTCGGTCTTTCTGCCTGCTCTGCTCCCTGCTCTGGCTCTGGTGAATTCTCTCACCCTCCTGCGCTTCAGACTGTACCCAGTGCTTGTATAAATAAATAAATCTTTAAAAAAAAATAAAAATAGAAATTTAGTGACTCCTAACTCTACACTTTGGGCTGGGCTCAGTAAGGCTGGTTTACTTTTGCTCACATAGCCTTAGTTGGTGTAGCTTGTTCCTCTGTGTAGCCGTCCAGGATGGCACACACAGGATGGTCATTTGTTGCTGGTCATCCGCCGCGGGCTTGTCTGGCTTCAGTCAACCACACTGGCTTTCATTCTTACCCCTTGGCTCTCACCCCATGGCTGCTTGGGCTTCCTCACAGCATGGCCTCAGAGTTATAAGAATGAGTGTTCCATGGAGGGGGAATTGGCCCACCTGAAGCTGGGCCCAGACACTGCCACGGCATCATTTTTGCCAGGGTCTGTTGGTCAGAGCTGCCCCAGAACTCATCCAGATTCAAGAAGGGGAGGATACAGACTCTTCCACTCAGTGGGAGGAGGAGAAGAGAATTTGCAGACACCTTTAACCACCACATGCTAACAGACTCCTCCCTTGTGCCTTCCCGTAGCCCTGACTGCCGCTGCGGGACGAGGGAAGCTGGAGGTCTGCGAGCTGCTGCTGGAGCGTGGAGCTGCCGTGTCTCGGACTAACCGGAGAGGGGTCCCACCTTTGTTTTGTGCAGCGCGCCAGGGGCATTGGCAGGTACCCAGAGGACCCCTGAGCGCTTCAGAAAGAGTAAATGGGAGTAGAGTTCCCTGCTGCTTATCTCCCTGAGTTACATGAGGCTACCCGAGCCCTGTCTGTCCTTTGATGTTCTTGGCCCTACTTGATAAAGGCACATATTCCGTAGACCTAACAGTCTCACATGTAGGCTGGTAACCAGGTGAGACACCCACACTGCTTCCTTGATGGGGTATTAGGAGGACCCCATCATGGTAGTAGAAGACTGCTGTATGTCCACTGTTGGGAATTATGTAACACATCTGTCCAAATACTGGGAGGAAGAGTGGTTTGCTTGTACTTTTTGGAAAAGAAGTATTTTCCCTCTGGTTGAGCCCTGCGATTTAAGCTGGTTTCTTTTTCAAGGAATGACATGTTACTGCCTTTTATTCCTCGAGAACTGCAGTTCAGTCATTTATTCCTTCTTTCTATAAACAGTGGCCATGGACCCACCCCATCCTAACATCTGGTTATACACAATCTATGAACACATCAGCGGAGTCTACCATGTCTAATTCAGGAAGCATTTTCTAGCTCCAAGTTTACAGCATGAAATCAGATCTCTTCTGATGGCTACCAGCTCCACTGGTAGATGCTTATGCGAGCTCCTCACTAAGGTTTTGGCTTTTCTCCTTCCATTTGCAAGAGCTTAGTTTGTACTGTCCATTCCCTTCACTCTCACAGCCTCTGGATGCTGGAGCTGATCCCTTCTGGTCTCAGTGTTTCCTAAGTTGTGGAGAAGTTTGGAAAGCACTCATGGTGCATCAAGGCTAAGAAAGCATGAGCATTGCCAGGGTGATATAGCTTCCCCTGCCAGAGAGACTGGACTATGCTTGGATCAGGCAGTGTCTGCTGGGAGGGTGCTCAGAGGAGACACTGTTCAGTTTCTTCGTTTTTGCTCTCCAGTCCTGTCCAAAGGCATAGTCTTGAGGCGGAGAGTCTCTAGGAAGCTTTGCAGAAGAATTCCCTGCTGAAAGGCCACCCCCAAGCCCTAAATCTTAGAAACTGTAGGAAGAACCAAGCTCAGCTGCAAATTCTTGGGCACCGGGACTGGCTCCCTTCAGCTCTCTTGTCCCTGATGCTCCCGCCGGTGTCTGTCCTGCCATTACTAGACTGTGATTGGCATCTCTGCTCTTCCAAATTACTGTTTCTGCCTGGTATGTGCATGCTTTATAGAGAGAGTAATGAATTGGATGTGTCGACAAGAATATATATTTGGAAGGGATGTTCAAAGGGGTATAACAGAAAGATTTTACAGTCTCACAGATTACACAGCACAAAAGTGTTTTTTTAAAGATTTTATTTATACATACAAGAATTGGGGTACAGGCCAGAGTTGTGGGGGGGTGAGAGGGTTCACCAGAGACAGAGTGGGGAACAGAACAGGCAGATTGACTGAAATACACTGCTGAGGGGAGCAGCGGGCGAGTCATGAGAGGTCTGCTGTGCCATGTGGGCTGCTCCCTGGCCGACCGGGGGATTGAAGTCGTGTTGCAGTGGCTGTGGCGAGCTTCATAGGTTGCATCTTATAACCCCTTGCGCCACCAGGGAGGCCCATAAAAGTGTTTTTAAAGAGTGTCCTTTCACTACTTTTAATGGTGGACAAACCTGCCTGGGTATGGAGAGCATGATTTAAAATGCAGCAGGAAGGATGTCATTCTGAGTATTTCTTTCAGATCGTTAGGTTACTGCTGGAACATGGCTGTGATGTGAACCTAAGTGACAAGCAGGGCCGGACGCCCCTCATGGTGGCTGCATGTGAAGGGCACTTGAACACCGTGGAATTTCTCCTTTCAAAAGGTAGCAGCACATCTGCTCCTGTGTGGGTTTCTTTTGGAGCAACAAAGAAAAGGGCTTTGGCAGCTCCATTCATTAGTTTCCTATTCAAATGGAAATTTTCCAGCACACACACTGGTCTAGTGAGTAGCTCCTGCAGCCCCTGTACCCATTACTCAGCTCCAACAAGGGGGATCATCTTGCAGTCGCCTTCAGATTTCACAGCCCGATCGCGAGGCAGTTCAGGCCAGTGTTGGCGGGGAAGGAACGGTTTGCTTCTGGGCTTTGTCTCCCCAGCGGTCACCTGTGAATGGGCTTTTCTTTCAGGGGCTGGCCTTTCTGCTCTGGACAAAGAAGGTCTGTCTGCATTAAGCTGGGCTTGTCTGAAAGGTCACAAGTCAGTGGTCCAGTTTCTGGTCGAGGAAGGAGCTGAGATAGACCAGACGGACAAGAACGGCCGCACTCCCCTGGACCTGGCCGCCTTCTACGGAGACGCAGAGACTGTAGGTACCCCGCGGGCGCGCTGGCCACCTGCCTGTGGGCCGGCTGCAGAGGCCAGGAATGGAACATTTCCTTGTGTGAGCCTGTGCTGAGTGTGGTCAGCATGCGTGTGTGTGGTGGGCGTAGCTCTCGCTTTCCTCCGAGTCTGTGTCATACAATCTATTCCAGAACTGTGGGGAAGATTTTTTTTTTTCTGGAACAGTTCTAATTATTTTATTGCAATAACATTGGTCTACAATACTGTGTCTGATTTAGGGGTATAGGTGCACACCTTCTCAGATCTATGTTATGGCACCACAGCCACCTCCAAAGCACCCATAATCTTTCACCTTAGTCCACTGGGCCCCTCCCTTCTTTGTGTCACCCTCACATCCCCCTTCCGGTAGTCTCAGTTCTGTGGTTGGATTTCTAAATTCATATAGTTAGTTTTGTCTCTTTGCTTTGTTTCTTTATATTTCAGTAAAGATTTAATAGACCCATAAAAGCCTTAAAAAACCTGATTATAAACTGCACACACAGCACACACATGCAGGAATATGCATACATGCATATGTCGTTTTATCTGTTTTGTTTTTTGTGCATGCGTAGTTTTATTTTACAGTAATCCGTTTAAATAGAATTCTTGTATCAATCATTCAGAAATCACTCTTATGAGAACTTGCTAATCAAATAATTAGCTGTTTTTAAATTGATGTGGCATTGTCCAGAAAAAAATGTAACTGCGTAGGGCACTCTTTTTTTTACCAAGTACCTAAGTCTAACTGAAGCAGAAGGAATAATACCTCAATGAGCTAAGAAACAGTAAATGTCTTTCAGGGAAGAGACATGTCTTTGTCAGGTCCTGCATCTCAGGCACCCAGCAGGGACGAGGACCATGCACTCCTGACAGTTACTGCTTAGGAGCAGTTAACAGTGTCCAGTGTAGGGATTGGCTAGAGAAACAGGTGTTGTGTCTCTGGAAGCCATGGAGCTGGGAGCAGAAGCCATCATGTCCCTCCCTACACAGCTGTGCCTCCATATTTTTTAAAAGTCAGCGATGTTTGAGTTAAATGATCCTAATTTCCTGGACTTTGTAAACTACAGTTAATGTCATTTTTCAAAAACAGCTATTTAACTGAACCTCACATATTCATTTTTCAGCTTATACTGTCTTACCTAGTCCTACAGTTCATCATCATCAGGGAAGCGTAAGGCTGCTTAGTATTTTAGTGTCATTTTGTAATTTGTGGTAAAAGGAAATAATAAAATGTACTGTCTTAACCATTTCTCAGTCGAGAACACTTCACATTGTTAAACAACCAGTGCCCAGACTTTTTCATTCATAAAACAAACTATCCCGTTAAACAAATCCTCATTCCTGTCTTCCCCACAGTGTCTGGGAACCAGCTTTCTTCTTCCCAGGCCTGTGAATCTGACCACTCTAGGCTCCTCATCTCAGTGGAATCGTATAAATAGGTGTCCTGTTGTACCTGGTTTATTTCATTTAGCCAAATACCATCAGGGTTATCCATATGCATAGTATTATGTCATAGGATTTCCTTCTTTAAGGATAAATAATATTCCACTTTATGTATATGGCACATTTTGTTCAATTTTTAGTGGACACTTGGGTTGCTTCCACCTTTCACTGTTGTCAGCAGCGCTGTTGTGAATATGGGTGTCCCCGTAGTTTTTTGGATCTATAGCCAGAAGTGGGATTGCTGGCTTACCATGGTCATTCTGTTCTTAACTTTGTCAGGGAGCCCTCCATGGTGTGTCCTTAGTGGCTATGTCACGTTACATTCCCACCAAAAATGCACAAGTTTCCTGTTTCTCCAGATTGTGGAAGACACTTATTTTCTGTTCTGTTGTTGGTTGATAGCAGCCCTCCTAACTGTGTGAGGTGATACCTCTTGTGATTCGAGTTTGCATTTCCTTAATGATTAGTGATGTTGAGCATCTTATTGTATATAGTGTGTTGTCCATTTGCATATCATCTTTGGAGATTGTCTATTCAAATCTTTTGTCCATTTTTTAAATTAGGTTATTTGTTTTGTTTTTTGAGTTGTAGGAGTTCTTTATGTTCTGGATATTAATTTTTCTGATGTATTTTGAGTGGCCGGTGGCCTATCCAGCAGACCCACCAGAAGAACCTAATTGGCTACAGACTTCTTTTTTAGTATGTAGAGCAATTTGAGTAGCCAAAGTGGTTTTTTTCTGTTCTCTGTTTAGTTCAAGTGACAACTATTTTTATCACTTCAAATGATGGTCTCACACTTGCCACCTTTAGAGTCCCAATAGTTAAGTCTCTATTTAAGCCTTAAGGTGTGTTGTACGCAGGCCTGTCTGATCCCAGGCTGCTAATTACTCCAGGCTGTGTGGGTCTGAGTGTGTGAAGTGCCTGTTGCCTAAACCTGCCAGCCCTTTGGAGCTACTAGACGGTGTGTGACTCTGAGTAATTGGGGATGAAAAGATGTGACAGTATCTACTTTCTGTGGCCTTGGAAGTAGGGTGAGAGATATGATGACACATGCTTGTACACCCGGTGCTGTCCCTGGGAACCTTCACCTGCCTTCCCCATTGTTGATATCAATTCACTTAACATCTCCTGTGTTTTCTGTCAACTTCATTTCCATTGTGGGATCCCGAGTGAGCAGAGGCAGCAAAGATCAGAGAACAGTAAGACTTCCTGGCTCCTACACCAGGATGCTGAGGCAGATGAGCTGCTCCTCAGGGCCTCTGTCCTCCCACTGCAGGTGCTGTATCTGGTTGAGAAGGGAGCCGTGATTGAGCACGTGGACCACAGCGGGATGCGTCCCTTGGACAGAGCCATCGGTTGTCGAAACACATCAGTAGTGGTTACACTACTGCGGAAAGGAGCCAAGTTAGGTCAGTAAAACACCTCAGTTCAGCAGGGAGATACTAGAGTGTCATTGGGGACCATAAAGACGTGCCTGGCCTCAGGTCACAGTGTCAGGTGTTTGTAGAGCTTTCCTTCTCTGAGGCTCACTTAATCGTAGTCACCTATAATGCTGTAGATGGGAGAAAGCAGAGGCTATGGCAGAACAGTCTTCAGGGTGCCCAGAGACCACTCCAGGGGCGGGGTCAGGAGTGTCAGTGGCTGTGGAAACTCACTGGTGGTTCCGACGAGCAGCCAAGTTTGAGAACCGCTGTGCTGGGGTCATCCTCGCCAGCTTGGTAGGGAAATAGCAACACCAGCACAGTTTCTGTGAGGAGGTCTCGTGATTTACTAGAGACCAGAGAGTGGGTCACTTGAGGTAATATTGGGGGTGGAGAGACGTGAGCAGGGAGAGCCCCTCGCATGCAGCTGCTTTGGCTATGTCGCAGCCTTCAGAATGTGTGGGCACGAGCACCTGAAACTGCTGCTCGGATTGAGTGTGCTGGACCCTTGGGCAGCAACGGTTCCGGGCAGGGGCTGCCATGGAGATGACATGAGCTAGTATTACTAGGCAGGCCACAGCGGCAAACTATCCCGAGCAGTTTCATGTCTTAATTTACCTCTCACTTCCCTTTAAGTGGGTAGTGACACCACCAAGTTACAAAGGAGGTAAATCTTCACTAAGGCCTAGCGAATGGCAAATCACCATTTGAACCTGAGCCACCTGACTCCCTAGTGTGTGCTCCTCAGCGCCACCCCCCTGAAGTGTTCAGAAGAGCCTTAGAAAGAAGATGGCGGTGGGACCGTCGACAGGAGAGACAAGTCTGACATGGACGTGAGCAGGGAGGGCCTGGAGCATGAGTGCTGGGAAGGGGGCAGAAGGGCCGGAGCACTGACGTCTCCAAGTAGGTTGTAATGGTGATTGCAGGGGAGGGCAAGACCATGTCAGACAGGCCCTTCCACTTGCCAGCAGTCATGATGGGCGCTGCAGGAAACTGAGGTACTCTGGAGCCTCTTTGAATTCATCTTGCCCCAAAGCCCCATCACAGGGGAGGGAAGGGTCACGGCTGCTCTGATGCCTTCGTTGCCCACTACTTTTCTACCAGAGTAACACTTTGTGCTGCTGCAGTACCCTCCTCATTGCCGAAGCGTAAGTTTCCGGGGAAGCCACCTCCCCACGTCCTGCTCTCTGTCCGCGTTACGTTGTCGCTCAGAGGCCTACAGGACGCACAAGCAGCACTCCTCTGTGGCTGTCTCAGCTGGTTGCCATCTTAGTTGTGTTAGAGCCACAGAAGTACTGAATTCCTTTCCTCCAAGACTCTGAAGTGCCTCTAACTGCATGTTTATTTTGCAGGAAATGCTGCTTGGGCGATGGCCACTTCCAAACCTGATATTTTGATTATACTTTTACAAAAATTAATGGAGGAAGGAAATGTGATGTACAAAGTAAGTGATGTTGCCCTTTTCTGTGACATAACAGCCTGTGAGCCACCTCTTAGTTGGGCACATGATGGACAGAGCTGTGCCCCTGCTCAGAATACATGTAGCTTAGCTTGATAGGACTTCCCGGGGACGCTGGCCTCATGTCCAGGCTTCATCATCTTAGTGGCAGTACCTTCAAGGTAAAAAGCACGTCTGTTTGTGTGAGCACCAATTACTTCTGAACAAATTCTTGCAGCTGTAACAATGACTCTGGCTGGGGGCCTTGGTATGAAGGTGGATTGCTTCAGGTTTACCTGCCCCACCATGCAGCGTGGGGCTGAGTCCCTGGGGACATGAGACACACAGGAAAGGAGTGCCCACTAGACATTCTGAGAGAAAAGAACCATTATGTCTCCCATGCCTTTATTATATCTACACACTTCTGGAACCTGCAATTGCTGCTAGAGATATTTTTACTTAATATATATAATACTCAGTTATTCAGCGGAGTGAGTTTTTTTTTTTTTCCCATTTTCCCTTGGAAATGAAAATGCGATTTACAGATTAATAAGCGTTTAAGTTTACCCAAATAAGACATCAGTTTAGAGGTCAGTGGTCAGCAAACGTCTTTATTAAGGGTCAGATGATAAATGTTTTGGACTTAGCCTGTGGTCTCTGTCACAACTACCCAGCTTTGCTATTGCAGCATAAAAGCAGCCACAGATAATAAAGGAGTGTGACTGTGTCCCAATCAAACTGTAGAACAGGTAGTAGGCCAGATTCAATGCAGACAGGTGCTTAGGACATTGATATAGAATCACCTTTTTCCCCAGGTTGTGATAAGACATTATTAAAAGATTATGAAAACCAAAAACTAGAGTATGGCCATTTGAATCCTTTCTGCCGTGAGGGTGCTGTATTTTCTCTGTTTTAGATTTTGCCTTTTCTTTTTTTAATAATAACAAGCAAATAGGCATATAGCATGACCCAGCAGGGTTTCTGGCTTGGAATCAGTTTGAAATTGAGTTCAGAATGTGTATTGTTCTGGCTTTGAAGTGGTTTTAATATGAATTTTGGTAGGCAATTATGTTGGAAATATCAAGCCATTTTCAACAGACTTCACACCTGCTGTGAAACGGAACTGACTGAGCAAATGGATTTGTTTAGCCTTGAAAATGACGTGCGGAGCTGTTCTGATTTTTAGAGTCTGAGCTTAGTTTCCCTTAAAAGAAAAACTACTATTCTACAGCAAGACTCTACTTGCCTTAGGAACTGCATCATTTTTTTCCCACTTGATTTCTATTAAACTTAGTAATAAAAATACCTGAAAATGAGAGTTCATTGATGAAATGGCTTTGAAAAATGTATAACAGGGAAGATCATCTGATGTATTAAGATCGATAGTTATCAATTTGGCAATTTACCACCCCTTCCTGTAAAACCTGCTACTTTCTAACTGTGGGAAGTGCTTGCTGGGAAGCCTGTGCTGACAGTGAGGCTGTCGGTGCACGCTGGTTAGTGTGTGGTTGCTGCTGCGCAGTCATTCATTGGGACCCTTGAAACAAAAGTGAAGGTTTGGGGTGGTGGGGGTGGGGAACCTCACCAGGATTTTATTCCTCTTGGAGCTTCTGAAAAGATAAACTTCTGTGATTTTTGTATCCTAGAAAGGGAAGATGAAAGAGGCAGCCCAGAGGTACCAGTATGCCTTAAGGAAGTTTCCTCGAGAAGGATTTGGGGAGGACATGAGACCATTCAATGAATTAAGAGTTTCCCTGTATCTCAATTTGTCTCGCTGCCGAAGGAAAACAAATGTAAGCTGTGCCCCTCTATTTCATCCTTTAATAGCAAGGTTTTCCCAGGGGGGAAGAACATCCTTCCACAGACCAAAAGATGCGACGTGCTTTCTGACTTGCTTGCACATATTGTGAACCTGGCATATGAAGCTGCTTCCCTTACATGACCATCTTTTGCCCACTGACACTCCCTTCCTCTCAAGATGTTGAGAGATTGTGCTTGGGGCAGTTTCCTCTGCTTCAGTGATGAGAAGCAATGCAAACTGCTCCACCCTGTCCCAACTGAATTGTCAGCCTCGTTAGAGTGGCCCATCCCCAGCTTCAGTAGAAAAGGGCATCCCAGAAGTTAACACAAATGTTATCACCTGCCCAGTGTTTCTGTTTGCAATAGTTAGCGCATAGTTAACTAGTCAGTTTGTTGTGGTACTACTTCTCCTTTGTTTTTAACTTCATCTACCCACCACCAAATCTGCTGACCCGCCTGCTTTTGCACATACTCGCTGACCTTTCAGCTCCGGAGGAGGGTGAAGCCTGCCGGCCCCTCTGAGACTGGAGTGCGGTGCAGGCTGCTGCTGCCTCGTGGGCCTGTTTTTACCACTGTTCTCACCTGCTCTCGCTCTCTCCCCTTCCCTCGAGCTTTGTTTTTCTAATGGAGCTTCTCTTAAGAAAAGTAATAAGCTTTAGGACAAAATTCCAAACTTACTTTCATCTCTGCAATGATGTCCCAATTCTCTCCTAACCTTTAGAATGAAACTCCTATTAAAAGGTTGCCTATAATCATGTTTCAGTGCTGCTTTTGACTCATGTGTTTAAATATTGACACCAGGACTTTGGCTTGGCAGAAGAATTTGCTTCCAAGGCTCTCGAATTGAAACCAAAGTCCTATGAAGCCTTTTATGCCAGGGCAAGAGCGAAGAGAAATAGCAGGTACTGTCTGGGGCCAAATCATGTGACTAGAGATGCCTTTTTGTGTCTCTGTGGTATCAAAGTTGCTGGTTGACTTTGGGGGCTTCTGGCTTACATGCATTACTCAGATGCCTCCCAGCTCATGATAAATTGGTAGCTTCCAAGAGGCAACTAGTGGATATTGTCACAATGGTTGAACTTATTTTCTCCTGACTGTTCACTGACAACCTCCCATTCATCCCAGTTGACACCACAGGATAAAGTTCCTAGATTAGTCCATATGGTCAGTGAAACTGCCAACAGGAGACATTAAGAGGAGGCAGTGGGGAGGAGTCAAAGACTGGTGAGTACAGTGAGAGGGGATGGTGATTCTGACGCCCAAGCCAAGGATTCAGAACTGTTCTCAGTCCCAGCCCAGTGGTCTGTACAGAGACGGCCTGGCTCTGGCATCACACAGAGGTTCAAATCCAGCACCCCCACTCAGCTAAGCAATACAGAATGTGTCCAGAACTCACTCTGCTGATGCCTTTTTTCCTTTGAGGAGTTGTAGATTTATGCAGTCTAGTTTTGTGAAAAGTTAGTACATTAGACCACATTCTTCCAAGGCTTATAATTTTTTCTTCTTTTTAATATATAGGCAGTTTGTGGCAGCTCTGGCTGACTTGAGGGAAGCAGTGAAACTCTGTCCCACCAACCAGGAGATCAAGAGACTTTTGGCCAGAGTAGAAGAGGAATGCAAGCAACTCCAGAGGAGCCAACAGCAAAAGCAGCAGTGCCCGCCTCCGGCTCCCCCCAATGACTCAGATAACGAAGAGGATGTCACAACCCCGGTATTAAATGACCACTTTGATCTTGAGGAGGCTGAAGAAGAAGAAACCTCTCCTCAGGAAGAGTCCATTTCCCTGGCTCCTAGATCCCAGCCATCCTCATCTGTCCCCTCGCCATATATTCGAAACCTTCAGGAAGGGTTACAGTCTAAAATGAGGCCAGTGTCCCCACAGAACAGGCCTGGAATCAGCAAGCCCCTGCGCGAGCCTGTAGCCCAGCCAGGGCTGATTATGCAGCCCACCAAGCAGGCACAGATCGTGAAAACCAACCAGCACCTGGGCTCTGGACAGTCTGCCTTGAGAAATGGTAGTACAAAAATTCAGGTCTCTTCTCAGAATCCTCCTCTGAGTCCCATGCCAGGTAGAAACGCTGCAACTCCTGCTAGTAGCAGAACCCAGCACTTAGAGGTCACAGGTACTTTCACTCTAGGAGCTGGCTCAGGCCACTTTGCAGATCGCCTGGGGCCCAGCCACAGCGTCCAGCTGCAGCACAGTGAGAGTGTGGCTGCGTGTCCTTTACCCAGCAAGATAAAAACCGCAGAGAGGCTTCTGGCTCATGCCTCCTCCGTGGCTGCAGATGTAGCCCCTTTAAGTCAAGGCGGGCCAATGAGTGACATGCGACACCCAGCTTCCCTGGCCAGCTCAGGCTCTTCTGGTTCCCCATCTGGCAGCATTAAGATGTCAAGTTCCACCAGTAGTCTGACTTCAAGCAGCAGCTTTTCAGAGGGCTTCAAGGTCCAAGGACCAGATGCTCGAATGAAAGACAAGGTGGTTAACCAGGTCCCGAGCGGTACGGCTGAGCACAGACCACGCAATACGCCCTTCATGGGCATCATGGATAAGACTGCAAGGTTCCAACAGCAGAGCAATCCCCCAAACCGCACCTGGCACTGTCAAATATCAGAGGGGCTCTTGACAAACACATCTTCTGCAGCTGGCCTGCAGGCCTCGAACTCTGAGAAGCCCACTCTCAAACAAGCAGGAGGATATACTAGCCAAGCCAAAACCTGCTCTGCTTCTACCCTGGGTGGGAGTGTTCACAATGGTGCACAGGTGAAGGAGTTGGAAGAAAAGAAGTGCCAAATGCCAGTGCACTGTCCAGATAACAGGATAAATAAAACTGTGTCTCATCTGTACCAGGAGAGTATCTCCAAACAGCAACCTCACATCAGCAATGAAGCCCACCGGAGTCACCTCCCTTCAGCAAAACCAAAGCGATCATTCATAGAGTCGAATGTGTGAGCCTTGAGAGAGATGCTTTTGTAGAACTTGGAAAACGGTGTGTTGGAGACAGACTGGTGGTAATGAAATGGTTTCTCATGAGAAAAATTTCATTTTAGCCATACCTTTTTTCCCCCCTCTGATGCCATTTTCCAGATGCCATTATCAAACAGGTGGGATAAAACTTCTTTAATAGCTAGCTAGAAGTCACCATAAATAAGAATGCTAACCAGAATGGAAAACTACAATTAGTTAAACCTATTAAATTAAAATTTTAAGACAGTCAAGAAGACATTAATGCTAATCTCTTATTAAATTGGATTTTCCTCCCACTTTTCTCCTAGCCTGTGCTACATGATAAAAATCACAGTATTTCTTAGAGAATATACATGTCTAGTGATAGGTTTAACTCACGACCTAATAGCCAAAGGGGAAAAATTATATTTTCAAGTTGCCGTACCATTGAGTCTAATCCCAACTTATAGATAGATAGATAGATAGATAGATAGATAGATAGATAGATAAAATTAAGATCTAAGTGATTTCTAGCTGAACATAAGTGTGACTATAAATGTTACATAGTTGATTTTTTTTTAAGGAAAATAAACTTTCCCTTCATAGCAGTTCCTTTAAGAGAATTAAACACTCATTTCCATGTTTGTTTCTTACTCAAAATATTTTTATAGCACCTTTTTTTGGAATTAAATTCATGCTTCAAGATGTTTTTAATGTTTGGAAACAGTATAAGCCATTTGGAATCACGATTGGTGGTCAAAGTGGATTAGGATTAAGACCAGCATTCTTGGTGACCTGTAAGTTAACTCTCAACTGGTTCTGAAACTGCTTGTAAGGTCCTTAAAGGACAGTATTTAATTTGGATACTTACGGGATGGTTGCTTATTGTTTTTGTTTTATTATACAATCACTGCTTTATAGTCACATGTTGTACATATTAAATAGCCAAGTTGTATTCGGACTTGTAAATATAACTATTTCAAGCAATCTTTTAAAAAGTCATATATTTGCATGTTCTTTGTAAGCTTCATCCATGCTGGTTATTGCACTGAACAATATATTATTATGGCATGTTAACAGTATACCAGTAACGGCACTTTATCTCATATATACGAGCACCTTTGAGGTGCTACTTAAGTCCAAACTGATGTATTATTCATTTATAAAGATGAGGTACAGGAATGAATCTTGGTTTAAAGGTATTTTTATATGAAGATGATGTGCTATTGGAGGATGTCAGAATGCTAGTTTGAGAGGTAGGAGTGTATTTGTTTTCTATGTTGGGGTGTGAAATTTATTTTCCAGAACTGGAGAGAAGGAAGTTCTATATTTACAGAGTGTTTTTACAATGATTAGTTGTAATCAAGTTCCTGTGAGCATCATTATGGTTTTGTACAAAAAGGAATCTTCTGGTGTCATTCTTCAGCATTTGTTCCTGAGTATGTACATATAGTACTCTGTACAGCTTTATTGTTTTTTATAGGCTTTTCATGAGTTCTGCTATAACTACTATGGCTTATTTATTGTTTATTGTTTTCTTTAATGTTTGTGAAAGTCTTACTCTTCTGTTATGTAGTTTTGTTTTCTGCACAACTACTGTACTTTTCCATACGGAATAAAGACTATTAATAGAATTTGTTTCGCATTAAATGAAACAATGGGTAAGTGGAGAATATCCTGATCTTGCCTTGCTTTTCATCCTGGGTGATCCTGTTGTTCTAAACAGTGGAAAACACATTTTTAGAGTTACTACTAAATGCATATTTAGTTTCATTTAATAACTTCAGAACAAGGGTGGCAACTTCTAGAAACCCCAAACTATTCAAGGGTCTAAATTAAGTCTTTTGTCTGAAAGTAATGACTTATTCGTATTCCTTAATAATAGACTTCAAGTTATTGTCCGGTTACTGATACTACTATTAAGGTAAGTAAATTAATTTCATTACTTCTTTAAAGCTATATATTTAAACTAAGGTTTAAAAAACTAGGTGGAAAGGGAAAAGTATTAATAATTGTTGTCATTGTATGACTTTTCCTGTAAAGCAGCCAGTGTGACTATTAGAAATAATGGTACATCATGATTTTTATATATTCTTAGTGAAGATATTTGGTTCAGTTACCCCAAAAAGAAGTTTCCTTGGACAACTACTAGTCAGGTGAGTGCTGCTCATGCGCGATCCCAAACCAGCAGGCCAGAGAGTCCGCAGAGGGCTGTTGCAGTGTCCCTTCCTTTAGTGGATGGAATTTTGATTTGTGTAGTGTTTTGCTTATGTGTTTGTGGAGAAGTTGTTTATATACCAAACTAGCATTTCATTTTAGTAAGTTATTAATAGTTTCGTCTTTAACAATTTTGTTTTATAAGAAACTCTCCTGGTGAATCATGGAAAAGAAAATCACTGGCACTTTAGAATTAGGTGATCTTTGTGTTTTCTACCGATGAGTTTGTGGTTTGGGTCACTTTTGGTAATTTTTATGTAAAAACCATCTATCCTTGAGAAAGTGTTATCAAAGTGAGAGATTTGGTCTAGTGACCAGCTTTTATCAATTAAAAAAAGTCACAATTATGTTAGCATACTTTCTCTTTAGAAATATATAAATATAGAAAACCTTCCCATCTTTTTTTTCCTCATAGATGAAAAGCATCTGTAGTATGGGGTGGGGGGAGGGAGGAACTCTTCTAAAATCATAAATTGTGAATTCTAGCTGTGGCACAAGGGAAGTAAATCCATAATACATCCGAATGACAGAAACTTTACAAAGCAACAATTCAAAAGGCATCTGAAGATTTCTCTGGTAAGTACAATTTCCACCTTTCTCTGAACATATGTCAGCTATAGTCTATAAAATACAGGAAAAAACGCAATGATATAATTACATTACTCTTAATTTTTAACAACTGCAATAAGGATTTTGGGGGTATATACAGAATCTTGCTCCCTTTATTGTAACAAGCTTTCTCACTAGTGGCCTCTGTCCCTGTAAACAACTCGTGACAAGTATATAAAGTCAGAACAATCTCAACTTCCTGAAATGGAGGCTTTCTTCATGAGTGAATGCTTATCCAGGTGTGGTAGTAAATAACAGTGTGTTGTATAAAAATGTTTTGTTACCCTAATTTAGAATTCTTGACGTTCTTATGTATTATTCTAAAAGAGGCTAATTTCCCACTTTATATAATTCAGCAAAGTCTAATTGGCATGTTAGTGATAATTAATTCCATGTAACCAGGTTTGGACAATGGGAGAAAAATTACCACCTTGCAAATTTTGAGTCCAACGAAATGCTCCCATTCGACATATCATGGTTATTTTCTGAACTTAGTCATAAACAAATCTGCAAACTCTTTAGATTCCAAAGAGCAACTTAATGGCTTTTTACTGGAATATGACCTATAACAAGAATAGATTTGGACATTGCATTTAAAGTAAAACTTTATTACTCTACAAGATTTTTTCAGTACTACAAAAAGACATAGTAAAAAATAGACAAGTAGTTAGATGTATAATTCAACCACACATTTTTAAGGAATGAAAATAATAAATCATCCTCAAGGTTTACCTTTCAACAATTCCTGGTTAGTATTTACCTTTAAATCATTCAACTGAAAATATAAGTAATACAATATAATATAAATGATTTATTTTTGATGTGTTTCTAACCATCGATTGATGGCCATTTTCAGAGTCCGATTTGGTGTAAGTACCATTGAAGGAAGAACAAGATTTGTCATGGGACTTGTACGTTTCTTTTTGCTGATCCAATTTTCCATTGCTTCCTTTTCATATGAATAGCCATCTAAAAAATAATAACACCACATACATTATTTGCAATATAGGAAAAAACTGAGTTGGTGATGACAACTCCATTGCCACAGCCGTTACTATGATTAAGTGGTATGTTGTCTTGTACAACTACTCTTAAAATATCTTTGCCACAATACTCTAAATTCTGAGATGCTTTAACATCGCACAGATTTCCTTGAACCAGTGTCATAAGCACTTGAACACTACAACGGAAAAGATTAATAGCCCCATTAGCTGTGTGTTTAAATTAATGGCTAAAGATGAAAAAGCCTTAGGAATAACTCACTAAAACTTTCTGACACACGTAAGAGTCAGGGAAAGATACCCAGAAATTATAAAACTCAACCCACTAAGGAATCAACATAAAGATTTATGATTCAAAAAAAAAAAAGCTACTAGCTAAGGTTTTTAATGCCATGTTCTTGCAAAATTCTTTGCTTTTGTATATGTTGGAAAGATGAGTTTTCACCTAATTTCTTTCAATTACTTTCATTTTAATACTTGGTAGCTCTTAAACAAAATCATATTTCCAATTATATTTACACAATAACCTATTTTCATCTGCAATGCATACACTTTTAAGCTAATAACGCCAATATACTGCTAATATAAGACTGAGAAAATTTATGATTTCTTTCTGGCACTTCCTGTCACCAAGATAGACCCACTAGGGTTGTGTAATTGAAATACTGTGTTTGAAAATTACTTGGAAAAAAAGATTCCATTTGTTACCAACTTGACAATTTTGTCCACTTGCCTCCCTTTTCATCTTAAGATTTCAAAATAAACACTAAAACAAGGCACATTCGGGAGTCTACTCTCCCCATTTTGGTAAGCATGTATTAGGAGCGCTGGGTTGCGAGGCTGCCCGCGGCCTCTGCGGTGCCGGTTCGATCCCCGGCTGCTCCCCGGCCACCCGAGGAGGGTCCCACATGGCGCGCGGACCTCTCCTGCCGCCCGCTGCTCCCCTCGGCAGTGTGCTTTGGTCCTTCTGCCTGCTCTGCTCCCCGCTCTGGCTCTGGTGAATTCTCTCACCCTCCCGCGCTTCTGACTATACCCAGTGCATGTACAAACAAAACAAACAAGCAAACAAATAAAGAAAAACATGCCTCTATTAAAAAAAAAATATATATATATAAGCAAATGCATGTATATACACAATACATTTACAGTCTTACAGAAAAGCTGGTTGGCTGGTTGGTTTTTAAACTCGTTCTTGCTTTTCTCCCTCCGACAGAAGCCTCATGTGGAGGTACTGATGGACATCTGGGTTGTTTCCAATCCATGCCTTTTATAAATAGTGCTGTAATGAATAGTCTCAATTTGGGGGAGAGTCCAGAAATGACTACTACGTCAAAGGTTAAATGTGTATAAATTTGCTAGATATGCCAATACTTTCTAGGCATAATAGTACTTCTTATTAGAAATGTTAAGAGTGCCTTTCTCTGTAGATCTTCACCAAGAGAATATTACCAAACTGGGTATTTACCAGACTTTCATGGGCAGCATGATACAGTATATCAAGTTGTTGAAATGAACATTTTTTCCTCATGTTTTAAAAGCCACTGGCTTTCATTCCTATGAAACTGTTCTTATTTTTTGGCCTATTTTTGCCCTGAGGAAGATTTATTTAATTGAGATACAATGACCATTCATTTCAGGTACACGACATAATTGGGTATTTGTGAAATGATCACAGTGAATCATTAACTAGACTCATAATACAAATCGCTGCTTTTCTCCTGATGAGGACTTTTAAGTTCTAATGTCTTCACAACCTCTAATACAGAATGCAGTATTAACTATAGTAGCCATATTATATATTACTTTACCACTGAAAGTGTATCTTTTGACCACCTTTGCCCACTCCAAAGTCCAATCTGTTCTCTATGAATTGGATGTTTTTTTAATTCCACATGAAGTAAGCTCATTTCAACAGATTTTGCCACTTTTTGCTTTGGAGATATAATTCACATATCACATTCCTCTATCAGGAAACCTTATATCCATTAGCAGTGACTGCCTTCTATCTCTGAATTTGCCTATTCTGGACATTTCCTGTAAATAGAATCATAACATAGTGCCTGGCTGCTCTCACTTAACCATGCTATGGAAAAACCATGTAAAATTATAACGGATTTTTTTGTATGACTACATACTATTCTGTTATATGGAGAGAGCACATTTTGCCCATTCACTAATAGACCACTGAGTTGTTTCCACTTCTTAGCTATAAGGCTGCTATGAACATTTATCTGCAACTTTTTGTATGACTATATCTAGGCATACAGTTACTGGGTCAAATGGTAACTTGATTTTGAACTGTCAGCAGCATATTCTTGCCAACTCACAGTATTTACATTTTTTTTCCTACCCTGGGGTGTGTGTAGTATCTCATTATGGTTTTGATTTGTGTTTCCCTAATGAAATTTAACCTTTCCAAGTGCTTATTGGTGATGTATGTATCTTCCCAGAAATGTGTATTCAAATCCTTTGCCTAATGTTTTTATTTGGGTAATATCTGTCCTACTGTTGAGTTGTAAATATAGTTTGAGTAGGCACATACATTCAGTATGCTGAGTATAGTGATCCTCTTACACTGTAGCACACTGGTCTTAAGTTATGCGTATGTTACTATGTGAAATATTGTGAGCTCAGTGACAATAATAAAACTAAATCTAAGAGTATATAAAAGGGCCCACTTGTTCTTTAGTTACATGCCATGTGGTGACACGATCTGGTGCTTAAGTATGCTTAATACTTAGTATTTATGAATGCCCATTGTGCATTAAAGGTATAATTTTTATTTTGAAAATTCAGTTTGCTACATTAATGTACCTTCTCCTTACACTGTGTATTGCTATGTTCAGGACTACATAGCTTGTCATTGTTACCATGGTGTTTGATATAGTATTCTATGTTTTTTAAAAAATTCCTTTGATCTGAATTGCAATAGTCATTTTTGCCTATCTTTTTCATTTGTAACTTTTCTGAATTTTTCAGGTGGAGCTGTCTTTTTAAAGACAAAGTCAACTTGGTGCTTACTACTGGTATGTTTGATAATATACATATATAACAAATTATTACATGAACTGGTTTCATCAATTTTGATGCTTAGAAAGGCTGTATAGTTAACTTTACACACTAATATTTTAAAAAAAGACCCAGATTATTGGTAGTATCTATTGATGCCTCACTTACTCGTATTAGCCAGTAGTCTTATTCTCTCAGTATCGGTCTACTCTTCATTTTTAATAGTTATATTACATCTACATTGTTACAGCATAGCAAACAAAAATTACTGTCATTTTTTAGAATAACACAGGCTTCCTACTTTAGCAAAGCCATAGGTTTTAATATCACCTCTCCATGGTCTTCTAGTGACTTTTTGGAATAACTGGCATTTTCTATTGATAAACAGTAATGTTTGTTTGTTATCCAAAGTAGTAAAAGTTATTATCGGCCTCTAAGTCCATGTTCCCAACCCCACCTACACACAGCCTTTCAGATAAACAACTGAAAATACTGTAATCAAAAAAAAAAAATACAGTTGACAGTTAATTTTAAGACACTAGGATGTCATGCATGACGTTTACTGCAACTAGCTTATTTGAAATCCAACATATCTCGGCAGGGAGGGACTAATATTGCTTCACAATTTTAAATTGACCAGATGGGTTTATTTTCATCTAAACAGTGTCATCTGAAACTCCTGGTTTGTCAACTCAGTTTCTTGGTTTAAAGCAAGAGTTATACAATAGTTTTATGCATCTCTGTTGTCCAAGAAAAGCACACTGCTGCACACCTGTCACCCTAGGAAATGGGCAGAACAAACACAACACTTCTCTGAGCTCTGCTCCCAAGCCAGAATTCCACAGTAATACTTGACTGAACACTAGTGACAAGAAAGCAAGATACCATTAGAAAGACACACAATTAGCTATGTGAGTATTAATCAATAGACTGCACCCAGGTACCGTTACCGAATAAACTCAATATGCACCAGCAGTTTCTTCTTGGGAAGAAACTGATACACCACTTGAATTACTTTCTAAGGTCACACAAGAAAGGAGTGACAGAGCTAGGATTTAAATCCAGGCAGTCTAGCTCCACAGTCTATGTCCTTAATATACATGCTACCTGGAGTTCTGGAAATAACAAATATAGACGTTACAATTTTTTAAACTCAATTGGAAGGTTAGATAGCATAAGACACTGCAGAATTGATAAGCAGAGCAGTCTGAGAAAATAACCAAGAAAGGCTATGGAAGGTATGTATAGAATGAGAATGGCTAAATGGCTTCTGATAAAAGAAACTGTGTGTGCCCTGATTCAAAAATACATATCAAAAACAAAGTGAAAACAAAATCAGAGATCATACTTGTACTACAACAAAAGCCGCCAAATAAGGTGTTCTCTATACAATTGAGAATAGAATAAAGCAGGTGGTCAGATAAATGAGTTGTAAATATGAACAAGTTTTAAAATTTTAATGTTCAGAAAAGACCTGAAAGGCATGAAAGAACAGATTGAACATCTGACTAGTGTAAAGGTGTTATTTCACCATCCAATTAGTCTATCTGTAATTGTAGTCAAAATTTCAGTGAGGTTATTTTGTACAATTCTAATGTTTATCTGGAGGTCTAAATGGGCAAAAGTATTTAAGCAAAGGCATCCTCAGCATACTAAATACTTCAGAGTTAATGTTATGGAACATTCATACTATGAGATTCTATTTCTGATACATTGAGTAATAGCAAATTTTTCACTATATATGTCATGTGTTACAGAAAAAAATCTTTCAAAATATTTCTGTATTGCTTATTTTCCAGCAACACTAAGTGCTTTCATAATTTAAAAGGATGGGTGAATGGTCTCCTGTGGCAGTAATTCTATAGATGTAAGATAGGCCTTGTGAGCAATTTGCAAACAAAGGTAGAAAAAGGAACCAGAAGCTCACAGGAATTAAAGATGGGGACAGAGTATTGAAAGATTTAATTCAACTTTTCCACCGGGAACAACTCAAAGGATATTTAAGGGTGTGGAACTGTTTTAGTATCATTTTGCAAAATATTGCCCATCAGAGGAAATTAGAGAAAATAATTTCTTAAGAGTTGTGAATCTGCAATACTAACTATAAGTAATGCTTATAGAATTAAGCAACTAGAATTCTCACACTTCTGGAAGTGGAATACCAATTTGAAAAATTGTATGTTTTGTAACTATATAGTTATCACAATAAGTCTAGTTAATATACAAATGTTGAATCATTGTTATATAATGAAATGCCAATCAGTGAAAGATGGATAAAATTCACTGAAAATAGAAATACTTAAATGAAACCAATACGTTTAACAACTTCCTGTCATTACAGAAAATATGAAAGGCAAACCAAGTAACTAAGCAAAAAGGAGCAAGAGCCAAGATTAAAATGAACAAGACAAAATACTGTCAAGAATATTTTAAGGTGAGAACATCACAAATCTGATGAATTAATTTATTAAAAGCTAAGTTTGAATTTGTGATTAAAAACTTTCCTACATAACTCTTAAGAAAAATAGTAATGCTATGCAAACACAGAAGGAACACTTACCAATACATTTTGAAGCCCAAGTAACCCTCACACCAAATCAATTAGACATTATACAGAACCTATAACCAATATAACTTATGAACACATACAAAAGGACAACACAAATGCAGTCTAGCCATATATAAACATAATTCAAAACCCTAAAGATCTCACAAAAAAACTTATCACAAGATTCAACATAAAAATCAGTTGGGTTCCATACACTAAGAAATTAAGGAAATTACATTTATGAATGGTATTAAAGAATTAAATAGTAATGAGCAAGGAGGTGAAAGACTTGTATACTGGAAACAATGCTGAAAATGTAACAACACTGCAGGATCAGTCTCCCCTAAAGGTTAGATGGACTTAATTGCCCAAGCCTCCTTAAAGGTCCATTGAGACCCTGTGGACTTTGGAAAGTCCATTACCATTTCTTAAAAAAGTAGTTTCAGTTGTTTACCCTTTTCCTCATCAAAGAGGCAATGAATGCTCACCCTTTTTCTGACCTAGAAAAATGCAGTTTGGGAGGTTATCACTCAGTTGTAGGCTTATCAAAGAACATGTCCTCTCTGAGAAATTCAGGGTGAGTCATCCCCTTCAGGTGATGTGTCCCCTTTCATTTGATGCTCCACTTCCTTAAACATAGGATAATATACCCCTGGCTTTGCCCTATTTTGGTTTAGAATTAACAGCCATATTTATTTGTTCACCTGTCTAGCCTCAAGAGTACAAATGGGATGGGGAGATTTTTGGTTTTTCCCCTATGCCCTGACAACACAAATAAGACATCCCATGCTCTTGAGCTACGAGTCTTAGTAGTTAAAATCTGATAGGGGTTGAGCAGAAAGGGTGGGGCTCTAGTAGGGCACTATGCGTAATAGTGTAAGAAAATTCACAAACACTGCTTATAGCCTGTCTATTCTAATTTTCCAGCCCAAGGACATGTCTGGAGGAGTGCTGCAAAACATTACAATCAGAAGGCCAGACTCAATGACATACTTGAGACCAGATGTCCAGGAGAGCAATAAGGAGCTCCAGAAGCCAGATATCACAAACTCCTGGCAGTGATGAAGGCCTGCTTACTGCTGAACAACTGTCTTTAACTCACAAGAAGCCAGCTGGAAATGAAGTGTTACAGTGGTTTCTTTAGGGTGTTAACTCCTCCTCCTCCCATCTTCCATATTGCTGGCTGTTTGATTAAAGAATATCTTAAAGATTCAATTCCTGTCTCTGATTATTGGATTTGGTAGTGACAGGAGGCCCGGCCCTGGACTTCTGGTTACAATACTACACAAGGTAGTCTACAGAGTCAGTGCAATCCCCATCAAAATCCCAATGACATTTTATACAGAAATACAAAAATTCCTGCCGAATTGTAAGAGATACTGAATAGCCAAAGCAATTTTGGGAAAAGACACTTGATGATTTCCAAAGTTATAACAAAATGACAGTTATCGAGAGTATGGTACTGGCATAAAGACACATGTATAAACTAATAAGTTAGTTCAGAAATAAACAAGTTTAGCTAAGACCATTTAATAGGAGAAAGAACAGTTGCTTCAAATGTTTGTGGGAAACTGGATATGTACATACAAAAGAAAGCTGGATCCTTACCTTAGATCATATACAAAGGTTAAAACAGATCAAAAACCTAAATGTAATAGCTAAAATAATAAGGCTCTAATAAGAATATATAGGAGAAATGCTTCCTGAACATCGGATTTGGTGATTTCTTGAATGAAACCAACAGCACAGCTATTAAAAGAAAATTAAAATGAAAAACATATTAAAGGACTAAAATAGAATGAAAAAGAAATCCATGAAATGGGAGCTATCAATGCCTTATCAGATATGATTTGCAAATATATCTAAAATATATAAAAAATACAACTCAATGAAAAACCACCAGATTGAAAAGTGGGAAAGGACTTCAATATTTCTTCAAAGTACAACACAACCAGTAAGCACATAAGAAATTCAACATCCCTAATCATTAGAGAAATGCAAGTCAAAATTACAATGTTGTATCACCTCATATCCATCAGAATGGCTAGTATGAAGAAAAATGCCAACTATTAGTGAGAATGTAGAAAAATTGGAACCCATGCACTAGTGGGGGGAATGTAAAATGGCGCAGCCACTATTGGGAAGGGTATGGTGGTTACCTCAAAATTAAATACAGAATTACTACCTGAACTAACAATTCCACTTCTTGGCAGATATAGCCTTAAGAACTGAAAGCAAGGATTTGAGCAGATATTTGCACACACTATTCACAGCAGCATTAGCCACTAGATAATAGACAAAAAGGTAAATACAACCCAAATGTTCATGACAGGATAATTTGATAAACTATAGCATATACATATGATGGCATATTTTTCAGCCTTAAAGGGGACAGGCATTTTTACACATTACAATGTGAATGAACCTTGAAGACATTACACTAAGTAACCCAAACACAAAATAACAAAGATTATAAGATACCAAGAGAAGTCAAATTTAGAGTGATGGATATTAGATTGGTGGTTTCCAGACACTGGGTGAAGAGGGAAACAAGAGTTACTATTTAGGGGATATACAGTTTGTGCTATACAAGATGAAGAGGTTTGGAGATAGATGGTTGATAATGGTTGTAGCTGCAAAACTTTGAATATGCTTAATATTACTGAACTGCACACTCGTAAAATTTTATAATACATATTTTTTACATTTAAAAAAGTCAATGAATATAATGGTGGTAGCAGAATAATGGTCCCACAAATACATCCACATCCTAATCCTATAACCTGTGAATGTGTTGCATTAACAAGGCCCAGAAAAACAAAATTAAGGTTGCTCATTAGCTAATTTTAAAATGAATAAATTAAGCTAGTATATTCAGGATGACCCAATTTAATCACATGAGTTCTTAGAAGTGGGAGGTAAGAGAGCATCACAGAGATGCAACCCATCACTCCTGTGTTTGAAGAAAGAAGGTCACGAGCCAAGGAATATAACAGCATCTAGAAGCTGGTATAGTAGTTTCTATTGCTTCTGTAACAATAAACTTAGGAAACTTAGAACAACCTAATTTATTACCTTGCAGGTCTGTACTCAGAAGCTTGGGTGTAAGCAAGTTCAAGTTCCCTCTGGCCGCTGTCAGGGAGAAATCTGTTTCCTTGCCTTTATCAGCTCCTAGAGGCTGCCTGAATTCCTGGGCTCAAGGTCCCTGGTCACTCCAACCTCTGCTCTGTTGTGACATCTCCTGTGACTCCGACTAACTTTTTCAGGACCATTGTAATTAAATGAGTAATTAAACGAGATCCTTATTTTAATAGGGATAGCAAAGTGTCTTGCCACATAAGAATGTTCACAGGCTCTGGGGATTAGAGCCAGAAACTCTTCGGGGAACCATCATTTTGTCTGCCACAGCTAGGAACAGGCCCAACATTCAACCAAAAACAGGGGCCTGTGAAAAACCTACAGTTGCTAGGAATTTAATTCCACCAACAATCTAAATGAACAAGAAATAAATTCTCCCCTAAAACCTCAGCAAGGACTAGAACTTGCCACCATGTTGATTTTAACAAAACTATGAGACTGTACTGGGATATCATATCTACCACTTTTGAGGTTATTTGTTATGGCAGCAACAGAAAGTACAATAACCTATCATAAGATACAGGAGAAAAATATTTCAATGGGTAAATATATTTAAATGCTCAGCAACTTAGGATAGAAGAGAACTTTAACTTGATAGAGGGTAGCTAACATCACATTTAATGGTGAAAGAATGAATGTTCTTACTCCTTGCTTAGGTTAAGGTGAGAATGTCTACTTTCACCACTTCTTTTCAACATTGTACTGGCAGTCCTAGTCAGTAAAATAAGAAATAGGAAAAGGTGTAGGGTCATGGTGAGGAAGGTATACATATCGGAAAAATGTAAGAGAAATATAACTGTACTTGAAGATTACATGATTATGTCAGGAGAAAAATTAAAGATAAAAATGTTATTAAGATCACAGTATACAATCAATAAAATCAACTATATGAAACAAGAATTTTTAAATTGAATTTTTAAAACTGCTACTTATAGTGTTATAAAAATATGAAATATGGAAGGATGATATTGGGGAAATTAGGTTTAAACACTAAACACTGAAATACGAAGTACTGTTACAAGAACATAAAAAAGACCTAAATGAATGGAGAACTTTATCATTGATGTCAATTCCAAATTAATCTATATAGATTAGCATCATCTCATTCAAAATCTTGGCAAGCTTTTACTCTGAAAACTAAAACATCGCTAAAACCATAAAAGATAAAAATAGAAAGACAGCCTGTGTTTATGAACTTGAAGAGTTAATATTGTTAAAATGTCCTACTATCTAAAAGATCTACTTCGCAACAATACATAGAGTTAACACTACTGTACACTTAAAAATGGCTAAGATGGTAAATGTTATGTTTTTCATTTTACCATACACACAAAACAAAACCCTGGCACACATTATTGTAGAAACTGAGAAAGTGATTCTAAAATCTAAAACAGTTTTTAAAAGATTTTAAGACTTATAAAGCTATAGTAATTGAGGCACTGAGGCAAATAGATGACAGGCATAAAGATCAGTAGAAGTTCATAGAAAGTCTAGAAAAAGGCCAACTGATTTTCAACAAAGGTGCCAAGATAATTCAATGGAAAAAGATTTCTTTATAAATGCTTCAGGAACAATTGGATAGCCATTTAGGGAAAGAACAAAAAAATTTTTTTTTAAATAATAAATTTTATTTTTATATTCCCCCATACAATTGCAAACGCCCCATTCTGACCCCAATCCTTCCCCTCCAGCCTCCCACCCCCCAAAAAGTGTCTCTGGTTTATAGTTTTTTGTTGATTCTGATTTTCACTTTCTTATATTCCTTTTCCTGGTCCCTTATTTAAGTTTTCTAGATTCCTGCTATGAGTGAGACCATCCGGTATTTTTCTTTTTCTCAAAAATTTACTCTTATCTCTCACTGTACACTATTATTTTTAAATAAATCATAGACCTAAATGCAAAATTTAAAACTACAAAATTTCTTAAGGAAAACATGATAAACTCATTTGCAATACTGAGGTATGCAGATTTCTTCAATAGGACACTTAAAGTACGAATCATTAAGAGAAAAATTGAGCTTTATCAAAATTAAAAGTTTTGCTCTCTGAAAACACCATTAAGAAAATGATGAGGCTAGCTACAGGCTGTAAATAATATATGTAATACATGTGTCTAAGGACTAGCATCTAGAATTTTAAAGAACTCTTTCAATTCACTAATGAGAACGCAATGCATTGCCAAGAGGCAGAAAATATACAAAGCTTTAGTAATCAACACAATACGATGGTATGAAATAAACAGATCAATGGAATGTAATAGAGCAAAGAAATGAACTCATGCATATACAATTCATCTGTGACAAAGAAAGCAAGAATATACAATGGGCAAAGGACAGTCTCTTTAATACATGGTGCTGGGAGAACTGGACAGCCACAAGTAAAAAAAGGCAAACTGGATCACTACCTTACACCCTAGACAAAAAATTAACTCAAAATCCTTTAAAGACCTGAATGTAGGGTGTGAGACAATAAAACTTCCAGAAAGAAACCATAGACAGTAAGCTCCTTGACATGGGTTTTGGCAATTTTCTTTTTTTGATGCTACACAAAATTCATGGGAAATAAAAGCAAAAATAAATGTGACTAATCAAACTAAAAAGTTTCTTCACAGCAAAGGAAACCAACAAAACAAAAAGTCTGAGTGGAAGTATTTGTCAATTAGACATAGTATTAGGGGCTAAAACACAAATATACAAATAAATGTAAGCATACATATGTTTAGAAATAGTATCTAAATTTTTTTTATAAGAGTTATAGGAATACCAGAAGGAGAAGAGAGAGATGTAGGAACAGAGAAAATATTCAAGGAGATAATTGAAGAGAACTTCCCAAACGTAAAGAAGATGAAAATTGATATACAAGAAGCAAGAAGAACACCAAACTTCCGCGACGAAAGGAAAAGAACAGCAAGACGCATAATAGTAAAGCTCCCAAGAATCCAGGACAAGGAAAAAATAATGAAGCTGACAAGAGGGAAGAAACAGATAACATACAAAGGAAAACCAATCAGGCTGACATCAGACTTCTCCGAAGAAACACTACGGGCAAGGAGAGAGTGGAGGGACATAGTCAACAGACTCCAAGAAAACAGATGCCAACCAAGAATACTCTATCCCGCAAAGCTCTCCTTCCTCTATGAAGAAAGAATAAGGACCTTCCCAGACAAACAAACTCTGGAATTTCATTACAACTAAACCCCCACTCCAAAAAATACTACAAGGAGTCCTAAAGCCAGAACCTCACAGGGACGAATAACAATGAAAGAAGGCCAAAAAAAAAAGTTATTAAAAGAATAAATAAAATCAAAGGAAAGACAAACACAATGGCAAATACAGATGCTAACATATCAATATTAACCCTAAATGTAAATGGACTAAACTCTTCAATAAAAAGACACAGAGTCGCAGGATGGATTAAGAAACAAAACCCAACCTTTTGCTGTCTCCAGGAAACACATTTAGCTACAAAAGATAAAAATAGACTCAAAGTTAAAGGATGGAAAACAATCCTACAAGCAAATGGACCAAAAAAGAAAGCAGGAACAGCTATACTTACATCAGATAAAACAGATTTCAAACTCAAAAAGGTAAAGAGAGACCCCAACGGTCACTACATTATGATCAAGGGGACAATACTTCAAGAAGAAATAACACTCATTAACATATATTCACCAAACAAAGGAGCACCAAAATATATCAGACAACCGTTGTCATCTCTGAAAACAACATCAGAGAAAACACATACGTAGTGGGAGACTTCAACACACCACTAACAGCAATGGATAGATCAACAAGACAAAAAATAAGACACTAAAGCTCTAAATAAGGACTTAGAGCGCTTGGGCTTAACAGACATCTATAGAACACTAAACCCCCAAAAAACGGAGTACACATTTTTCTCAAGCGCACACGGATCATTCTCCAGGATCGATCACATACTGGGGCACAAGACAAACATCAACAGATACACCAAGATTGAAATCATACTAACCATCTTTTCTGACCATGAAGGCATCAAAACTAGAAATAAACCATAAAAAGAAGGTAAGGAACTCTCCTACCTCATGGAGATTGAAAACCACACTACTAGAAGACCACTGGACTAATGAGGAGATCAAAGAAGAAATTAAAAAATTCTTTCAATTGAATGACAAGGAGGACACCAATTTCCTAAATGTATGGGATGCAGCAAAAGCAGTAATAAGAGGAAAATATATAGCAATAGAGGCTCACATCAAGAAACAAGAAAGAACTCAAAGAAACAACCTAATCTCGAAGCTCAAAGATCTAGAAAAAGAACAACAAAAAAACCCCAAAACCAGTAGAAGAAAAGAAATAATAAAAACCAAAGCAGAAATAAATGAAATCAAAACTAAAAAAGCAATCCAAAAGATCAGTGAAACCAAGAGCTGGTTCTTCGAAAAAAATCAATAGACAAATCCCTAGCCAGGCTCACAAAGGAAAAAAGGGAGAAAGCACAAATAAACAG